TTGAGCTGTCACAGCTGAAAAACATTGGCTGGAGACCCATGCACAGGGCATGACACAGATATGCAGGGTCTCAACTCCCTGGCCATCCTGCACTGTTGACCCTCTTTGTGGGTTGCACCTCCCTGACACAGTGACTGCTGGGAAATCACGAGAGCTACATTCCTGCACAAAGACGCAAACAGTCAGGAGTGGTGAACGGATGTGAGCCTAATGTGTCGGAATGACCCAACATTGTGCACATACAAAGATAACCTTGCTCCCACATGATACACTGGGCACTCAGCCCATGCTCCCATTGTCTGCACCTCATTAATGCCTATGACATGATGCGGGAAGATGCAACAAAGCATCTGGGCCCTTTACAGAGACAAACAAGTGGACGAATAGTGAAAAAGAAATGTTTAAAATGCATTTCTGTGGTATTTACAGAACAGCATGACCGTGTCACTGAGGTGCCCTCAGCACATTTTCCTCTACTTCTCCCTCCCACTGAGTCTTAATGAGATCTATTTTTCTGCAGAAGAGAGAGGGGACAGTCTTCTGGAGAGGAGGGCACCTGCTTGGAGTTCTGAGCAGTGCTATTAAACAGCACTTGCTCAGCCATATCCTGCTCACCTGTGGTTTGATTTCTGTCAGAATGAGAAGGCTCCAGACCATGCTGTAGCCCTGCACCAAATTGGACAAAGGAGCTGAATTCCGGGGGTGACATCAAAGTGACTGCCCTTCAATTCAATTCAACCAAATATACTAGCAAGGATTCTTAGTGAATGGGTTAAACCTCTCCACTGGCTGGAGTCCTCCCAAACACAAAGGATGTCACTTATTCATATCCTCAGTAGCTCAGGGAGTCAAACAAATGTCATCTAACTCAAAATGTTTACCGTCTCTCTATCCACAGATTCTCCATCACTATCTGTTCCTCTTCATAATCTTTAATAATAGCCTGGACAGTTGTGTTGAGAGTTGGATCAGTGATCTACTAGCATCATCCCAGGTAGGATCCAGACCAAGCAAAATCTACTCACCAGATCAATATGAGTCTGGGTCCAATTGGACAAAAACAAGTACACTAGAGAGTTCCTTTCGTGGTATGAGGAGCCTGATGTGATGTTAATGTCCATCTGTCCCATGTTAATGAATAACTCCCGGTGACCACATTGACTCCAGCCCCATCCAACACCATCATGACTAGAGTGCTGTATCCTACATGACCAGCTGCTGGCAGGGGTGCTGACTCTCTGCATACCTTCAATAGCAGGCTGAACTAGCTCTTAACAAGGGTAGAATTTGCATCAAATAGATGCGTAATGTCTTTATAGATAACATTTTGCACGTATGATCTCTTGGACTTGTTTTTATCTGAGAGAAAATGATCCAGAGTACCTTTCCCTTACTACTTCCGAGGTTTTCTCTATTTTTTTCTCAGCTAGCTATGGATGGGAAACTAGGAGCCATGAATATACTGTGTGCAAGCAAAGCTTTGTGGTAGATGCTCTAGTATTTGTTCCTGTCTGGCAGTTCGCAAGTGTTGTTAGGGAAGGTTTAAATTGATTTGGCAGGGGAATGGGAACCACATTAGAAAGGAGAAACAAGGTGCACAAAGTATTAGGTCAGATAGATAGCACTAGAGGAATAAATAGTACTGTGTAGCATTAGATAAGATCAGACTAAGAAGGAATGTACTAGAGCCTAACTTGGGTTTAAAGTGCACATGTGTAAACATAGGAAGTGTGGTAAATGAGATTGCTGAATTGCAAATGTAAATAATCAAAAGGCAATACAATTCTGTGGCAATGATGAAGTCCTGTGTCAGAAAGGGCAGGATTAGGTGTCAAATATTGCTGGATATAAGTTGTTCAGGAAAGAAAAGAAAGAGGGGGGCTAGCAATCTTGTTTAAGAAGAATATTATATTCCTGGAGAGAAGAGGACCTAGAGGGTTAAGGACAGAATCTATTTGTTTTGAGGTAAGAAACAACAGAGGTACTTTAAGAGTACAGGGTGCATTCAGATGTCACCAAGTATAGAATACCAAGTTCCTCTTGCAGAGAGCTGGTGTGGGCACAATGGACCAAAAGGCTTCCTTCTGTGCTGTACCTATTCTATAATTGTGCAATTCTATTTCTTTGCACATGTAATTTTTGACCTCTGGAGAGGTTACTGAAGCAGCTGCTGAGTATGTTGGGAGACTTGGCCTGCTGGAGGAAGTTCATGATACATGTGGGCTGTGCATGTGGGCAGTGCCTATGGGCTGTGCACGTGGGCTGTGCCACATCTGTGTGTGCCATTGGTCGCCCGACTCACAGCTTTGTTTGTGGATAGGAAATGGAGATATCGAGAACAGTCACCAATTTGAAATTGCACATAATCAAGTCTTGTTGCAGGAAATGTACATTATCATAGATTCAAATCACATCAGTTCGGAATCCCTGGCACCTAAGGAGGGATTTGTTGGCTGCTCCTCAGGATTAAAGAGAAATGCCAATGTTGTAGGATGCAGTCTTTCAATCACAACCATGTCAAACACGTTCTGATTGTGTTCGGGTGGGGCCAGTCGTCATTGGAAGTTATTCATTAACATTGGACAGATGGACACTAACATCACTTCAGGCTCTTTCTACCACTCAATAGATGATTCCCAAAGAAACTCTTTTTTCTGAAGAAGGGTCTAGGCCCGAAACGTCAGCCTTCCTGCTCCTCTGATGCTGCTTGGCCTGCTGTGTTCATCCAGCTCTACACCTTGTTATCTCAAACTCTCCTACATGCTTGTTTTTGTCTGATTGAGCCCAGATCCATAGTGATCTGGTGAATAGATTTTGCTTGGTCTGAATTCCACCATCGGAACTCACATGTGTCCCTGCCTAGGCCTCTCTGCCTCCAACATCTCAGTTTATTGGATCTCACTGAGGCACCCTGTTCTTTTGTATCTCGAAGAAAAGATCCTCCCTCAAAAACTCAGCCCTAACCCCATGCCTCTGACTGTACCTGCTTCATAAATGCTGGATGAAAGGTTTACCCCTTGCAACACACTGAGAAATCTCCATGAGTAAACCAGAAGGTCCAAAGGTCTCCAGTTATGGATTTAATGAACGGCAGGATGCAATATGTTCTGCCAGTCCTGCATAAATACATCCATTAACTAAACATATTCAACATGCATCAACTTAATAAAGGCAGCAGCTTTCTCCATGACTCCTGGCATTTTTTCCTGAAAAATCCAATTAAACAGTATGATCTTTCACATTAATTCCATTTCAATCATTCACTTACTCCCACAGGTGTTCACCATTGGTGTTCTGTTGAAGTTGTTTTGGATGAATTATGTTTAAAATTATTGAGAATAAGAGTAGTTTAGAATTTGCATATTGAGATTTCTGTTAAAAAATTAGGATGTAGAATCATAGTATTTCTAATTTTTAGCAATAAACATTCTGAGCAAAATGCACTTGCAATATTTCTATCTTATTCTGAAACAAGTAGACGGGTAAAATCCTCAGAGGACCATTAGAGAGAGAGAGAGAGCACTTTTGGTGAGTTTAACCCGAGGGGCACTATGCCTCAGGCAATGGGGGAAACGCAGAAGGTGGGATCTTCATGCTAACCTCAGCTGGTACAGGATTTAAACCCGTGCTGCTGGCATTACTCTGCAATGCAAACCTAACAGACCTGTCTTTGCCAAACATTTCTCAAACAATATCATTTTGCACAGATAGTTAAGACTTTACACAGGAATACATGGATTCTGCAGGGCTGATTGGACCACATCGGTATTTACATTCCTGTGATCCTCCTCCCACCTCATCCTATCAGCAAACCATTATTTTTCCTCCTCCCTCATTGTTTATTTACCTTCTTCTTAAATATGTCTATGCTGTTTGTCCCAACTACTCCTTGTAGTAGCATGTTCTGTAGAAACATCGAAGATAGGAGCAGGAGTAGCTCATTCCACACCTCGAACGTGCTCTGCCATTCAATATGATTATGGTTAATTATCAATACCTTAATTCTGCCCTCCCCCGTATCCCTTGATCACTTTAGCCACAAGAGCTATGTCTGGTATTACCATTCTGGTAAAAATGTTTTTCCTGAATTCTCTATTGGATTCATTGATTATCAACCTGTACTATAATTGTTCTGGATTTCCCACAAGATGAAATTTTTATTTATGTCTACCACATCCTTTTTAGAGAAAAGAGCCTGAGTACATTTAATCTTTCTTTATAGTTCCCATTCTGTTATTGTCCTTGTGAATCTTTTTTACACCTTCACTCTAACCGTCTTTATAATATGAGATTAGAACTGTGCACAGTATGTTAATGTCATCCAACCAAGCAACTTTATCTATTAATTAAAGCAACATTTTTTGAATTTCAGTTCTGTAATGAACTCTAGAAATGAACTGTAGAATTTGGTTTGCTTTATTTATGGCCTCATTAACCTCCGAATCAATTTTAGTGATTTATGTATGTGTGCCTCCAGCTTCCTTTAATCCTCTTTCCCATTTGACTGAAATTATCCAAGGGGCATGTAACCTCTTTACTGTTCCTACCAAGTGCACCCCTCACATTTATCTTTACTGGAATTACTTTGCCAGATTTAACATACTTCATTGGTATCAGGGTCAGCAGTTAAAACACATTGTTTATTGAAATGGCAGCGAGAGTAAGAACATTGAAGATGGAAGCAGAAGTGGCCTGTTCTGTCTCTTGAGCCTATTCCACCATTCAGTAAGATCATTACTGATCTTTACCTCAATGCATTTCCACACATTATCCTCATTTCCCTTGGCATCTTTAATATCTCGAAAACAATGACTGAGCCTCCACATCCCTCTGGCGTAGAGAATTCAAAAGGATCTCCAACCCAAGTGAAGAAATTTCTCCTCATCTCAGTTCTAAATGGTCTACCCCTGCATCTGGAATTGTGTTCCTGGGCACAGAAAGTTCAATCAGAGTCAGAAACCCTTTCTCTGACCAGATCAGACTAAAAATTACCCACTTACCTTTTGATGTCTTCTGTCACTGGAGATTCCTGGACGAGGGTCTCCTGTCATGAACCTGACCAGGGATCCACACAGTCAGCAGTGCGGAGAATGGGCATTACAGCTGTCAGTAATTTTAATGCCCAGCAGCACTGCCAGGCACGTGGACAGCTCCTGTGAAAGGGAAGTGCGCAAGGTGGGGTTAGGGTGGTAGGAGAGTGAGGGTTTAGGCATAGGGTGAGTCAGCAGAGTGCCCAGTGGTTTGGATGGCAAATGGTATGATACAGGTAAATGAATGTGTACTTAGGGTATATTGAGAGTTGGTTGAGAGAGGTTTGAGTTGGGATATTTGGGTCAGGTGAGGTGTTGTATTGTCTCAGGAGGTTGTCGGATCATACTAGAGCATTGTGTGCAGTTTCGGTTTCCTTATCTGATGAAGCTCATTCTGGCTATCAAGGGTGTGCAAGGAAGGTTTACTGGGCTGATTCCTGGGATGGTGGGACTGATGCACAGCAGGGGGAGACTGGATCAGTTAAGATTATATGGACCAGAGTTTAGAACATTGACGGGGAATCATAAAAAATGATAAAAATTCTCACAGGACGATATAGGATAGATGCAGAAAAGATGTTCCTGATGACTGAGGAGTCCAGAACCAGGAGTCACAGTCTAAGGGTATAAAATAGGCTGTTGGTGCCTTTTATATTGAAATATTGAGGTGAGGGTGAAAAATTTAATCTGGACAAAGAGCAGAGGCTCTTTATTGAAAGACGATAAACTCTATGTGAGAAAGTGGCTATGAAATTAGATTAGAAACTTGAAATCATTCTCAAGCTATTACTTATTTGTGTTTTGTGTCGATAATTACACCTTCTGGTGTCTAGATCATTGGAGATGGGACAAATGGCAGAAGGTGCAGCAGTCCAGACACATGGACTTATGAGGAGTGTAGATTCTTGATGGGCCAAATCCCCTTTGCTGAGACCCTGGGACTCTGTTTCAGAGCCAGAAACTTGGACTATATCATGCAATTTACTCTGCCAGCTACCAACAAATATCAGACAGATTAAAATCCAGTCTAATGACGGAATAACTTGACGACTGACTCCCCCAATTGCTCAAACTGAGCACCCAGCTACTCCAACCCAACGTCCAACCCCCGAACTCAACTGAGTACTTCCCCAATTGATTGGCTACCCACTTAACAATTTCCCAACTTGATATAATTACTAATAACTAATGATTATCGTCAACACAGAATCTATAAAACATCCATTACATTTATTCAAGGTTAAAAACATTCCTTTGTTTCACTGAGAGTGGATGGGGATAAAAGTGTAATGGCTCCAGTGCTAACATTCCTTAGCTTGATAAGCATTACATTTCTTGTAAAGTATGAATAAATTTGAGGCTAAAATCAAATAACAATCAGTAAGTTGTATTTCAGGAATGTTGGTCACAGTGCAGGACTGAGAGAGTGAGTCAGAGACAGGCCTGGAACATTAGTGATTTGACTCACTATACTGCATTTTACTCGTCACATCCCCATTGCTCGGTTACAGATGAGTTTTACATGGCACCGATGGTACCTGATCTCCCACTATAACTTTGATGCAAACTTCGGAGAACTGCATAGTTGGCTGTTTTCACATCCTCTTCGGTGTTTACACCAACTCTCTGGAATTTCCAAGGGAGATGGGAAGACTGTGGAAATTCTGTCATGAATCTTTACAATATCTGATTTGATAAAATAGTAAATAGTCATACTCCCAAAGTTATCACCTCCCATTTACTAAAGATGGTGTTAGGCCTTGGAGACAGACAGCCAAATTAAATCAGACTTCCTATCCCTGTATTGACACCACAGTAAAACTAAAATACTCAACAACCCTCAAAATTGACCCCAATGGTCGCTAACCAGATGGTTTGAATAACCAATCCCAGACTTTGTAAATAATCAATAGCAGACACCAGATATCTAGCATAAACAAAAGATTGAACAATTTATTAATAATACAGTAACTTTAACAGAAAAAAGTTAAACCACAAAGTAGTCTGATTAATGTCTATGATTTAAACCCAATCCTCTTTGATTGTAGCTGCCACTCTCACACAAAGAGAGACAAACAGACATAATTAACAAATAAGTCAAAAGAAAAAAATAAAAGAGATGTAACTAGCCAGTTCAATTCAGCTGTTTTCACAATTTACAATGTCACAGGTGCAAGGGATTGTATCTAGTTTGGTTTCTGGCAACACCGAAACATGCAACTGGCGTTTGATATACTCTGAGGAATGTTCGCTTCCCATACTTACAACTGCGATTCTAAAATAACTGCACAAAGTTACATCATCCTTTATTTACATGTGCACAGTACACTGGCTATGGCCAGCCAAATTACAGTCAGTCCTTAACTGAGGAAATTCTGAATCCCCTGTTAATGTTGGTCAGCCAGGGCTCCCTGACTGGTCCAGATTAATGACCCCAATCAAGGATCTCATAGTGAATGAGATTGACCTGGTTCCAATTACCTCAGGTTCTATTCGCTGCACTTTCAATAATTTGATAATGAGAGGACAGGCAGTGAGCAATCAAAGTTCCATCCTCAGAGGCACAATCCTTCTGACTTAAACTCAGTTCAAAAATCAGTTCTAACACTGGTCTGTTTATATTAGACTGGTTTGTCTCCCCATGAGGTCGTAGTTAACATTCAACATCTGCTATCTGTTTGAACATAAGGCCTCTCTGGAATCGAAGCATCTATACAGCCTTTTTAAACAAGAAACAACCTATAATTAACTTTCAGACCTGGCCTCATAAACACTTAACAGATTGGTTGTTCTCTTTTGTTTAAAAAACTTCTGCTCAGAGTACAAATGTCACCTTCATCTCTTGGCTCACAGTTCACAGCTCCAAACCAAAATTGATTTAAAAAATCGATTAAAATAATGAAAAATCAGTGAGGCTTTTAACAATGGAATTTTCCAATTAAATGTAAACTTATAAAATTATGAAACTGGTGTACAATAGAATGCTTTGTTCAACTGAAAGCCTCTACTTTTAGCACAGAGGGCAAGCAGTAATATACAAATCCTGCTCCTATCTTCCAAAGATTTCATTTTTAATATTTTATGGACATGATACTCCTCAAGAATCCCTCCCCTGCTCAAGACCAAAAATGTTCTTGAAGGAAACTAATTAGATGTAAATCTGCAACACCAGAAAAAGTGATTTGACTTGTCAAGGCACAGTCCATCTCCTTAAAATGCTGCAAAATGTAGATAATGCTATTGTAATCAGGGTATGTAACATCAAACTGAGATTTCAGAACTACACAAGTTCAAGATTGGTATGCCTTGAGCAAAACTAAAGATTAGAAGGAATTTATTATAGCATGCTAATAGACATATGAAATACACCCCCAGGAAAAGCACTTGTATGAATGTACTCCTGTGATTACTTCATTTAGTAAGGGTCAGTTATCTGTCTAAGAACCATTCAAAGGTGATAAGAAAAACAGTGACAGGTGGTGAAATGCTGCTTACAATATAACCACTCCCTTGCTACTGGGAGGACATGATCATGGGCTGTAAAATGTAATCCTTCAGCTTCGAAGAACGTAGATTATCATGTTAAAGTGAGACTCTAGAGTTCTGGTCTGATTATCTTTCATGTGCAGCGAGAGATTTAGAAGAGCTTTTATGTAAATTTCACCAGCAGATTCAGCTGAGGGCAGCCTGTGACAAGCCAAATTGTATGTTACCTATTGGCTCACTGCTTCATGCCATATTGTCTATGTTCTTAATCTACACAGGCCAAGGGAGATATACACGTTTAATTTTCCATCATTGCTGTCTTATCATGAAGTTGTGCTCAGCATTATGGTCGTACCGATTTGTATGTTCTCAAGAAACAGAAAATGGTTGTTATTGCAAAGTGCAGCTTGAATCCTGAAAAGCAGAGGTGAGAGCCACAGTTCTTTAGAGAGTTTAAGACCATTATCTTTGTAATCTATGTTGATAGAATGCCAGCTCCAAATCAATATAAGGCTGAGTGCCACATTGATTTTCCAGCACCAGAGTACACAACATTAAACTGACACTAGTTTGTCATCTCTGCTGTAAGAGAGCACTTTGAACATGTGAAGATCACATTGTGATTATCACTGTGATCACAGCAGATTTTGTTGTGTAACAAATAGCATGTCTTAAAAATCAAATATATCCAGAGTTAGAAATGGTTTAAGTTGAACTGAACATTTAAATTGAACTGAACATTTTACTTACGTAAAATGATTCTTTCCCTAGGCTGCTCAACATTTTCAGACTGGGAGAGAGATATTTGTTGAGCTGAATTGGGCGCTATTTCTATGCAGAAGTGGGGTGCATACTGAGTCACCCCGCTTTCAATAACTTCCTCTTGCTGCCGATAGAAAAGGTGGTACAGAGGCTCAGTGGTTAGCACTGCTACCTCACAGTGTCAGGAACCCGGGTTCAATTCCAGCCTTGGGTGATTGTCTGTGTGGAGTTTGCACATTCTCCCCGTGTCTGTGTTGGTTTCCTCTGGGTGCTCTAGTGTCCTCCTACAGTAAAAAGATGTGCAGGTTAGGTGGATTAGCCAGGGGAAATGCAGGGTTATGGGGATAGGTAGGGGGAGAGGGTTGGTGTGGCTGAATGGCCTGCCTCCACACAGTGTGGATTCTATGACAGGATTCTAAAATTACCTCATCTGTTCCTCCCTAGCCCTAGAATGATGCTTTAACTGAAATCATTTGGGATAGAAATCCAAGCTGCGCATGTCTGTTTTAGGCCACATTTAATCATTGGTCCACACTACAAAGTGTTACTCCATTCTTACATAAAATCCAAAGCTCCATTCATACAACTCCATTTGAATGTAAATTGATTTGATAGAGGCTGTGTATGCCTAAGTATTAAACAGAAACCTTCTGCCTCTTCAGGAAATGTGCTGGTCACTAGGCTCTGATATTTAAGGGCAGCCAAGGAGGCAGTGGGTGAAAGGACCCAGTTCAGCGATCAGGAATCCTGAAAGATCGGCCTTCCATCTGGTCCAGCTACAATTTTATGTACAAAGTACGGCCTGAAGTGAAACAATCAAGTAGCATAGCAGAGTAATTTCAAAACTTTGTCCTTAAGTGTCATTGTGCAGTGTA